CCACCAGATCAACAACGACTTATCTTTGCCGGTAAACAACTTGAAGATGGTCGAACCTTAAGTGACTACAACATTCAAAAAGAAAGTACACTTCATCTTGTGCTTCGTCTTCGTGGTGGTGGCATGCAATAAATTTTCACAAGGGTATTCAAAACTATTGACTGTATCAACTTTTTTTTTTATTGTATCATTCATATGATCAAATTAGTTTCGATATTCTACCGAATGGGTTTTTTTTTGTATCTCGTATTTAACCATCATAGTCATTTAATATCATTGTTGTCGTTGCGATTGTTAGACAAAATAAATAACTAAAAAAAAGACTTGTCAATGTAGTAAACTCCTAGTCATCTATGAATGTGAAACAGGACCATTAAAAGATAATACATGTACCTTATGATAAAAGTAAAAGGTTATCAAAGTAATCGAACCATCAGATACACACAGTATTACTTCTGATAATCATATAGAAAAGGAAATTAGAAAAACATGAAATAGTTTCTATCATATGTTGCTAATGATTTTTTCATAATCCTCTATAGTTTTTCCTTGTCTTGGAGCTTCCTTCTGCTACAGTTTTCATGATTCGACAATGAATTTAGTTTTTTATCTTTTCAAAACATTTTGATAAATTTCAAAATATAAATGTCAATACTCAACTATTGCTTACCAACAAGATCATCCATGAATACATGTCATCGGATAGGTCTTCATATGTCAGATATCACCTTGGTCCTCGAACAGTGTTGTATGTGATTGAAACACATGTCTGCAAATTGAGATTTGTAGAAAATAAAATCGGAATCACACTTTTCTCAAGCCTACAAGTAATTCTATGACTACTAGTTGTCGCTAAACAATAGCTCCTAAGTTTGATAGTATTATATAGTCATTGATTACGTCATCGAGTATAATATGGTGTTAATATTTGCTCACATTTTAGTATATCATCAATAACTATATTCAATCTTTATTTGACTAGTTTTGAACTTCATTTTGGTAACATTATATAAGTAAATTGATTTCAATTATTTGTATATAGAATAGCTTGTATATCTGTACCAATTATGAAATTCACATATAATTGTCAGAACAAACGTAGTAAGAATGAGTTCCTCAGAAGATGGCTCATTTCTTAAATACGGAAAGAAAACAAGAAAAATATCAAAATACGTTTTTTTTATATAAAGGAATAATATGCGGACTCATTGGTGAATATAATATTTAACGAAAGATTCGATGTTCATTATTTTCAGCGTCATGTATCATGCCAATATCTTTCTTCTAATTCGTTATCTAAAAGCTAGAGATTTACTTTACAATAGCCATTGATTTATCTATTATTTATAATACTAATATCTTCATCCTCTTCTCTCGTCGATAGTCGATTTAATATTTCATAAATTCAGTTTTTACTATGCTTATTAGTCTAGGTGGCATCATTCTCTTTGATAGAAACAATCATTTGATGTATGAAACTCATTGATATCAGCTCCGTTCGAAAGAAAATACTTTTGAACTTCTGTAAAATAATGAAAATGTTTATTGTCTAATCATAGACTAATCTCAGTGATTATATTTTTATTTTATTACATTAATTCGATATTATAAAATAAGTACAAAAACAAAAAGTATTTAACATTCCTTCAAAAAATTTCTTTTTGCTCAATAGAAAAATATCAGCAATAAATTTGTTATATTTAACTTCGCAACGATTGTTTTCACGTTACTGTCACTAAACAAATTATTATGGAAGGCTTAATATAATAAATATTTGAAGGTAAATTGACCAATTCAATATTATTAATTCTATGTAACACTAAGTTGTTAATATTTCAAATTTGAGCTGGAACGTTTCCAATTTGATTCATATCGAAAACTAATGATTTTCTACGATTTGTGTTAAAGCCTAATGTTGTCAGAAGAATAAATTTTTCACGAGGGAGCACATCCAACTGGTAACCACCGTTTCAATTTATATATAGCCTATAGATGAGACACATACTGTAGATAAAAGCTCTAAAAAGATTCGTACTATTAGGCTTTTCCTCTCGAGTTATGATCATTTTACTGAATATTCAGCCTATCACAAAATATTATGAAAAAATCTTCAACAAGGAATTTCTGTCTGAAAACCTTCTCAATAATAGACCTCATGGTCCTTATTACATCCCGAAATTTTCAACACAAGTGAATGGTTCTCTTCAGAGGTAAAACCTTTCAAATAGCACAACTTTCTTACAAGAGCCTCAACCACAGTTCACTTTTCATATATCACATATCTTAAGAGAAACTCATTCGTTTAAGAGTAAAACTTTTAGGATATAATAGAGAGAATGAGATCTGGTATTGGGATAATATTCGATCGAGAAGAAAAGCCTAATAGCATGAATCCTCTTAGGACTTTTACCTAGAGTATAAGACCTACCTATGGAAAAATATGAGCTGGAACAGTGCCTTTCAATTAGATGGGTTTCCTCGTCAAGTATGCATTCAATCACACGTTAGATAATTCATGCACACAGATGTACTTTTTTGATTCATTACTACTCATGACTCATTAAGTAGAGAAGACTAGGCAACAAATTCAACATGCTAATGACACCCTAATGCTTCTTTTCATATTAAAAAGCTTTTGTATTGAGTGTATATGTTACACAGTAAATTAGGATTCTAGTATTAACTGGATGCCCATCAGTTAAGAAGTTTCATTTCAGCTTTGTCTGAGCAAAATTTGAATTCGAATAAATATAAAGTCATATAATTACGTACATTACTGATGGTAGAATGAAATGAAAAAGAAAAAAAGAAAACTGTAATCGCAACAATCTCGTCAGCAAGAGATTTCACAACCGATCTCAAATGCAACTATAAAGGCAAGTGTGCTAGCAAACGATGTACATATTAAAAAAAACTAACAGTTTTTTGCCCAACTAGATGTCATTCGCAACGATGTGATTGTGCACATATGAGTGAATATATTAAAATATTTTGTCTCGTAAATTATTTGATGCATTGAAAAGATATTATTTAACAAAAGAAAAGTAGTTATTCTATTTTTATTTTTATTTTATGAATTTATCTCTTGTCGTATTCTCATTTTGTCTACAACATTTATATGTATACTCGTTCCTGTTATCACGAAAGGTTTTATCCATTTCTCATGTATCCAATAAACTAGATATTCAAATTAACTTTCGACTATCTAAATTAACTTCAAGACATGACTGTTAGTTACGATCGTTCTTTCAATTCATGTGTAGGTCTTATTTTCGATATAAACTGAAAAAAACGTTTTTCATATCTATCACTCGTTGAATGATGTTGTCTACCTGATAAGTACATATGTTTAATTATTAATTACATCGGTAGAAATGTGACTCACAACAAAAAACAAATGATGTATTAATAACCATTTTTCGACATGCTATTCTCACTAACTATGTATAGATACAAATTACTAGAGAATTTTAAATGTTACACTGTAGATTGTAATACAATATTTTGTGTTAAATTTTTTATAAGATTTCTACTATTAAAACAAATCATAATGCACAAAACGTCTTGTAAGTTAATTGTAGTCTAACAAATTTTAATTTATTAATTTATCTTGAAAAAAGATTTCTTTATTTTGTTCAGTTTAAAAAATTTTGTTCGTACTCAATGAATGAAATTTTCGTCATATTCAAACCGAATTCTCACATAAAATGCCATATAGACCAATAAATTCAAGCATATATATATAAAGCAATAATTCTATTTTATAAAGAATAAAAAGCTAGATTAATTAAAGAAATTATAGTTCAAAGAATATGTTATTTATATATATATTCAGTATCCTTCATAACAACCAACTGGTTGTGCTTGTCTCCCTGGGTTTTATCGTACTTTGGCAACTGGTTCTACAAAGTCTTGAGTAATGCCAATAGTAGTCGGTGCCAGCAATCGCATCATAATAGCTGGTTGTTCCTGTGATCCTTGTTGTACATCTTGATTTTGTTGAATTTGAGCTAAATTGAACAATTCATTTTCATCACCATACTCTCTGGATGCTCGTTGGCTCATTGTTTGATGTTCTTACGTCAATAAGTGCATTTAAAAACAAAACTGCAACTGTTTACACACACCAAAATAGACTATCCTTTTATATTCCTATGTGATAATTGTATTCAACAATATGCAGGTGAAAATTGTGAAGCGTATCGATGAAACATTGTTATTGAAAAAAAAAGAAACGAAAGAAATAGCAGCATTCTGCGTATTTATTAATAGCAAGATAAAAAAAAAAGAAAAATAACAATCACCACTGTTAGTTAATCCTTCGATAAAAAAGAACATAAGCATCAGCTTCAAGCACTTTGCTTTCGGGTATTTTATGTATAGTATTATCACTGATATAATACCATGATGGTGGTGGGCATGATGGATCTACCGCTTCATTTCTATTAGGTTGTTCATCTGTTGCATTTTTAAATAAATTTTTAAATAAATAATCTATAGGTTTTGAATATAGTTTATCTGTTAAATCATTATCATTTATTGATTGTTTGATATAAACAATATAATGACCACTTCGAAGTGTACCAGAATGTTCAATAACAGCATACAATGAATATATTGCTGAAGTCGACATTATTTGAGTTGAACAACGATGAGTTAGATCAAGTCGAAGAGGAAATTCAATATATTTATTAATTTTTTCACTATGAGAATTGAACTAGAAAAGAAATTTAGTTTTTTTTTTATTGCTTTAAAAAAAATAATACATTTATTTTACAAACCATTTGAAATCTTTTAAGAAAAACTGGTAATATTGGTGGCAATTGAAAGAATACTGTTTGACGAACTGCTTCTGTTAATACTTTCTCTAAATATAGATTTTGAAAATACAATAATTTATTTTAAAAGAAAAATAAAATCTTACTTTGTGATTGATCTAATGATCGACAATAATAACAATCGAATAGGTTCTCGCCGGAAAGTGTTTCAGGTTTAAAATATCTTTGAAAGCATTGTTCTAATGTTTTTATATCGTCTGTTTCATTTGTTATCACTGCATCATTTGTTGCTTTGGGACAACTTAAAAATTTTTGGGCAATACTCTCATCAACAAATGGTAATGGACGAGATGCTGTTTCATGAATTAGTGTTAATTTTGAAACCATATCAGAAAGTACACAAGTTGATTCAACAGTTGTTAAAGGACCTTTAGATTCTTCTTCTTCTTCATCTTCATCACTATCGTCACTGTTCGACTTTTCTTCCGCTTCCTCTTCTTCTTTGTCATTGTTTGTAGTAGTTAGTTGGTCTTTTTCTTCTTGATTAGGATTATCTGTTTTTATATCAACGGACTCTTCTGCAAATTCATATACAAGAAAATTGATTGAATAAAATTATTTGTAAATTTTACTTGTTTCATTCTCTTCAATTGTTACAGTTATTTCTTCAGTGGAAACTACAGGAGATGGTTCCTCAAGTGGCAATTGTTCTTGAACAACTTTTGTATTTGCTGATTGTCGACCTTTGATTTTACTGGAGGCAACTCTAGCACTTCTTCTACTCTATAACATATATGTGATGAATAAAAAAAAAGCTAATGAAGAAAATTCTACAACTGTCCAATCGCTTTTTGAGCCGAGCCGATATTCATTATGTAGTCAAAAAAGAGCTATGAATATTCTGACATGAGTTTGTGTCCTTGGGGCTTATTGCTACAAGGATACTGCAATTTGCAGTACTTTTTTTTACATGAATGCCATGGTATCAGAAAAAAAGGGTTTTCGAACTTTGACTAGAGATTCTGCATAGAAACAAGCCTTAATGAGAATAGTTTTTTTGTGGATGCTTCAGATCTTGTCATTGTTCCTATCCTAAGATACAACTATAGTAATAGTGTGTCTTTTGCACAGTTCATAGTGATGTGTAGAGTAAGCTTTTTTCGTATCCTATACTTAGACTGAGAAAAACTTTCTAGCCATAACCCTGTAGGATAGCTCTGTACATCTCTAATAGCTCATATCAATAAGCAGACTCGATGTTCTTATTTCAGGATAGAAGTAAATAAAAAAAAACATGACATTACCCTTGTTAAGACTTGTCTATATGTAAAGATTCATGTCGAAATTCAAAAATTAGTTTTTCTGTCACCATACTATTCATTTAGTCTCGAATCAAAAGCGATTTATCAGTTGGAATACTTCGCTTGTAAAATAATAACTTTCATACATTTTTCTTTTCGTGTTTTGCTAATGCTTTCTGTTGTTTTCGTGATAAAATTTTTGGTTCTTTTTTTGATTTATTTCCTGTATAATCATCACGTTTACGTCGATTACGATAATTTTCCGATGGTGACACCTATTAAAAAGTTTTGTTTTTCTTCAAATTAAAAAAAAAAGTATGTTATGTATTTACTCGATCAGTTAAAGGTAATAATAGACCAAGAAATGGTTCAATTTTCATTAATGACTAAAAAATAAATCATCAAAATAATACTTTTCAATGGCATTAATATTAACCTTGCCGCATTTTTTACAAGTCATAACATCAAGTAAATGACCACCGAAAATGGAATCATATGTTGTATATGGTTCATTACAACCAATTACTAAAAAGCACCTATCAATTATTTCATTTTTTTTTATGATAATGGTATACGTACAACAAAACATTTTTGACAGATCATCATCATTTTCGCAGTTAATAGGTCGTCTTTGTTCTAATTGTTTTAACTAAGTAAGAAAATAAAACATGTTTTTAAATAAGTACCGAGTAGTCCAAAATCATTCCACGGAACGGGAAAAAAAACTGATTATCTCCGCTATATTTTGACCAAATGTGCTGATTTTTTACTAGTGATAAAGAAATACTTATAAGAGTAACAATCGACAAATACTACTTTGAAATGTAACCGTTGACTACAACAAACAACTGCAACTTTTCACAAGTTATGAAAAAGCAATATAATTATTTTTCATAGCCAAAATTCAACTCTACATTTTTTTCTCTATTGATACTACAGACTATTTTCGTTCGGTCTAGAATTTGTACCACGAATACATGTCTTGTTATTGATTGTATCCTAAAAGTTTCAGTCATAAACAATAAGAATTAGTTGAGAAAACTACTATATGATTCTCTCATAGCTGATGAAAGATCATTGTTCTTTAATTAAGTCAAAAGTATATAAGATATAGGCAAGATGGTCTCGATTTCGCTGGGACTAGAACCAACATTTCCTCATGCGAAGTAATATCTTTTATGATCGTGTAAGATTTGTGTACAATGTCAAATTCTCAAGACTTATTTGTTCTATGAGTTCACGTGAAAATCATTGAGAAACAATGGTTTCTATATTTGCTGGTATAGTTTGAATAGTAAAATTAATTTTCTTCTTTTCGTAAACAATACAGTTATTGAACACATAACTAGCAGAATAGACGAAACATTAGAGAACTAAAAACAAAGTAATGAGTCTTCAAGAGATAGGATATTAGAGATCTTACAACATATTTACAGTTTATTGATACCACTAGAAAATGATATCTTATTTTTCGCTTGTATATATAACACTCACAAAAGAATCTCTCCAGATGTCAAATCAATTTTGAATCGAGACGATATTCATTTGTTTGAGTGCTAATGAATAATAAAAAAAGTTCAGAATAGTTTGGTTTTTCGGATCTTTGTTGCTGAAATATCGAAATTAAGCTTGGTTTTTCACGAAAAAGCTATAGTCATATGAAAAGTCGACTATCCTGACATATTCAATATTCTCTTATATATAAAAACAAGCTTTGTTCATATATTTATATCTTCAGAAAACAAATACTAGTTTTACAATCAACTAATCTCATGAAGAACTGTGTTGGTGCAAAGTTTGAAGTCAAATCTAGAAAGTCGGTTTTTCATATGAAGTGAGAAGAATCATAGCTTTTTTGTCCAAAAACCAAAATATTCTAAACTTTTCTGTTACTTGCTAGCAATCATCAAATAAACACTGTCTCGGTTGAAAAGCCATTTGACACCTGAAGATGTTCCCTCGTACACGTGAAACTAGAAAATGATTGGTTCTATTTATCATTCATAAAAAACGGTTTCATTGTTGATAAAAAATCAGTCGATTCGGTCACAATAGAGCGGAAACTTTCAGTTATTTTTTTCTCTGGTGAAGTAACTTTAGGATCATCCTGTTTGTAATTTACTTGAATTTCTTCTGCACGTAATATCAACATAAGATTCATAAATAGTTCATGACTATCATGTTGATCATATCCTTTATAAGATGGTATTCTAAATAAAACCTATTATTTAAATATATCAAGTGATGAATTATAAAATTTTACTTTTGAATAAGACAGTTAAATAATGGCTTTGGATCAATACTTGGTTTTTTTCGTTCATCAGATGTAAATTGATCAAATACATTCATTAGTTGAGCAGTTATCATGGATGAACTTTTTTTTTCATATTTATGTATTAAAATATGTATTGTTTGATACATAGCATCAATTAATAATGAACTATGAGCAAGGGACTTGAAAATATCAAAAGAATAAAATACAATTAAAAAAAGAATTCTTTATTGATAACAAACCTGAATAATAACATTAAAAAAACATGTATTACCAATATTATAAAGACCTTTTATTAATGATCGTCGTTTTTTATTTTCTATTAATTCATCTTGTTGATCATTTTTTGATAATTGTAATGAATCAGTTGATGTTGTAATACTACTACTACCATGTCCAGAATCTGTTGTATCTGATGCTAAAATATAAAAATCGAACGTATAATAGAAAATCTTTAAAAATAAATAACCTAGCTACATGTTTCAATTAATTTTTCATTAATTAGTCGCTCTTCATTTTCTTTTTCCAATTCTTCTTTTAATAAACGTTCATCTTTATCATGGTCTTCCATTTCACGAGCTCGTTTTTCTCGTCGTCGATCTTTATGACCTTTACCCATTTTGTAATTAATCTTCTTTCAATCTCAGTTTAATTTAAACCAATATAATAGGTGCTTGTATTTGACTTTCGCAATATTTCATTTGAGGAAGTATGTGTGTTATTAATAACCAATAAGAATCAAAGCATACATACGGACATCTATTCAATGTTAATTCATTTGTTGTACGATTGACAAATCAAACATCTTAGTTACCTAATTTTATTTGATTAAGATGCATCTCAAACATGTACAATTGAATAAGCAAGTGTTGTTTTTTTCCTCTATTGATTTCGATGAGTAAACGATTGAAAGAGTAAATACCATAGAATGAATATGCGTACATCATTATCACAAGTAGAAAATCTTTATGATTTATCTGTAACACCTGATGAAGAGAAACCACTTCGACCAATTCATAATCGATCGCAAAAAGCATTTGATTTAAATGATGCAAAAGCATTAAAAGTGAATAGAAGAAATTCAATTTTTTTTTAATAAAAAGAGAAAAAAAATTATTTCTTTTCGTTTGTTTTATAGAATGAAATCGATCAATCTTTTAAAAATACCATTGGAAAACTTTCCATTTTCGATCAACGTGATGAAACAGCTGGTAAAAATTAACTTCTTTCTTATTTGAAAATTATATTTAGTTTATTTAATTAGAGTCTATACAATTATTTGCACGTCGACTTGAACCTGAACGACCGGTTACACCTCCAGATGTTAGTTCTTTAACTTATTTAAATGAAAATCTATTATTTTTATTTAATAACTAAACTATATAAATGGCTTGATTCCATTTTGTAAAGTTCATGTTAAAAAAAACCACGCAGAGCCATTTTTCTAAGAAGATCTTGATCTATAAATGAATGATGATACATTGTATGGATATTTTCTATGCATGTTTTTATCAGATATAAGCTTTTTGGCTTACTAAGGAAATCCTCCAAGTGATAACACATTTTAGACTCGAAACTATATGTATTAAATCGATCAGAATGAACTTATGAGTACCTTGAACAGACTTTATCCTCTTAGCTTATTTCTGCGGAAATAATCCATTATTAGGTCTTAACAAGAATAATCTATTATGAATGCTTCAGATCATGTCGCTGTTCCTGTTCTAAAATACAACTTTAGTAATATCGTGTACTTTAACATTGCTCATATAAATCACTTGCATTTCAGGATAGAAACCAATCAAACGATCTGAAACTACTCTTCTTAATATCTGTATCTATGAAAAGTTTCATATCGGAATTCGATGATCAGTTTTTATGTTGCCATGACGTTTATTCAAAGAATACGATAAAAGTGCAGTGTATCTTTGCAGTAATAACCTAAAAACCCGAATTATTTTCAATATATTCATAGCTCATTTAGGTCTACATAATGTATGTAGTTTAGATTCAAAAGCGATTTATGAGTTAAAGAATTTCCTTCGTCAGAAAGAAAAACAAGCATGTTTAAATAAGGTAAATTTTAAATGCCATGCATCGTATGAAATCGAAGATTAGTTAGTTTTCAGAGAATAACAAACGTGTTATATTTCGTGAGTATTTGTTGTCATATCCGATATTTCATAAGTACTACAGAAATAGTCATATTTTAAGTAAAGATACGTTTAGCATTACATGTTTATTTGTAGACATGCATATCGGATTGATTGTAAAGCTTTGGATATAAAGATCTAATCTTGTGTTTTCATGACGTATGATCTATTTTAATCGTACTAAAGTCTGAAACAATGACAAATTCTATTTATATATAAAGGATGGCTGGACATCTTTTAGATAAGATCTTTGTTTACTTTTGATCATCTTTATTGATATGTCAGCTTGTAGATGAGAAGTTACCCTAAAAAATGCACTATTTAAGGTATTTTTTATCTTTCGATAGGGCATTTCAGTTTTTGTTTTTCTTAAACGTGCTGTTTTGAAAAACCAACAATCGGTTTACATTGAAAGAAGCTCTTGAAAAAATGATTGAGTGAAAACTACAGTTCAATTAACACCACATTTTGTAGAGAAATGTCTACTCTACACAATGACTAATTTCAATAATTGTTAGCATATTCGAAAAGAGATTTACAAGATCAGCAAAAGCCTATTGACACGCCATTAAAAGTAATTTTTCAGGTCTTTCAAAAAAAATTCCTCACGACTCTTGAACAAAAATAGACATAACATTTCTAAGCACAAAATCTTCACCCAAACTCATCAGAAATACTTTCTAACTGGCCAAAAGCGAACATCTAAAAGTGTTTTAGTTCATTCGTTGTGATGTTATATTCATCGAGTTTGACAATATTTCGATTCAAAATAGCGTAGATAACACTTTGGTACTTTTCCTTAGTAGTACACTCAATTACTTATATTTCAGTTAATATATATTTATATAATGCAATCTAAGATATAAAGTATTGTATTTCTCCTTTTGTATTAATAATTCATCATGTAGATCAAAACACATGTAATAAAGCATTGAATTGTAGAGAAACTATTCAGTTTAAAGCATACAAAACTAATCTTTTTCCAAATCTGTAAACGCTTTCTAATATAATGAAAAGCGATATTTATCCAATCTTAAGTCCACAAAAGTTAAGCTTGACAATATTTATATATATCGTCGACAATGTCTTTTATTCTTATTCAGGAAGAAGTAACCATCGATTCAGTTCCACGTGATGTTGAACAATTACTGGCTTTGATTCGTCGTCGTCTTAACATTCAACAAGTACCAGCAGATGTTACTCGTTTAACTTCTGATGATTTATCACAATTAGCTACTGTTGTTCTCACTCAAATGCGTTCAAGATGGATAGATATAGAAGAAATGCGTGTTCAACATCCATTATTATCACCTAAACGAAATCAAGAATTAATTCGTCGTCTTTTTGTTAATATTATTTTAATTTGTACGAATATTTTTGAACATACAATACAAGAATCACAAATATTTCATGATCGATATGTTTTTTCACATGCCGCTAATATGACTCGATTACGAACATTACTTGCTGATCGAATAAATACTTTGTAAGATAAGAACATGAAATTATCTGTTGTTTCTAAAAATAGAATTCAATCTTTGTTTTAATAGAATTAATATTCATTCATTACGTGAACATCTTGCTTTTGAAATGATTGAAGAAGAACGAATAAAAAAAGGTTTAATATTTGAAGAAACAATTTCAAAAAATATTCGAAGACGTTTGAATAAAAGTATTGTTTTATCACAACATCGTCCAGATGTTCGTGATGTGGTAAATTTATTTTTTTATTTTTTTTATCGTTAATTTTTAAAAGAAAAATATTTAGATAGAACATGCTGGTAAAAGTTATAAATATCAAGTCAAAGATTTAAAATATCATACAAAACAGATTCTACATCAAGTAAGTGATGTAATTTAATAATTTAATGTTGACTTTGTTTTTCTGTTAGCTTGTGACAAATATGCCTGATGTTAATCGTTTTCGTCGTCTACCTGTTGTTCTACCACCCGTGACTAGAGAAATTGATTCAACAACACCTTTAAAAAAAACTTCCAGTCAACCAAGAATTATTAAACAAAAATCAGCTGTACAAATACCTAAACCATCATTAGAACAAGAAAAAGATGAAACTTCAAAGTACTTACTGTTTTTTTCTAACCTTTTCATTTATTTATATGAATGTTTTTATAGAATTGTAAGACGATCATATTATGGATCACTACCAAATCTTCATGAAAAATTTCTTTCGGAAGAACTTGACTTTGATTTTAATAGTATTAGAAAGTCGAAATATAAAACAACAGACATTATACGTGAACAATATTTTATTGATGAAGAAAAAAAAGTAAATAAATATTATTTTCAAAAAATTTACCTTGATCAACATAAGTTTTTTCTTTTCTTTTTTTTTAGAGAAGAGATATTGAATCAACTAAATCGATTTCAAATCGAGCTGATCTAATAAATTTAACAACACAAACAATTCCTGATGAGCGAGAAAAATCTGATGATATACCACCTTTGATTAAAGTTCGTTTTACAACAAATAAAATATTTTCATTAATAAGAATTGCTTAAAATAGGTTCTTACATCATCACATGATCCAAAACAACGTATTAATGAATGTAAAGAAACAGTTTTAGCTATAGCAAAAAGACGAAAAGATTATTTTGATGAATTAAAGTGAGATAAGAAAAGAAAAAGTTCAATTAAATTAAATTTTAATACTTGATTATTAAATAGAGAAAATGTTCGAGATGAACCATTATGTCCTCAACCCTCAGCAATCGAAAAAACATTTAAAAATGTAAACAAAAAATTTTAATTGATTTTTAAGCATAATTTTATTTTATTTATTTAGATAACATTTCGTATATCTGATATAACACTTGCAAATTTTTATTTTCAATCATCATTTCTTTTAACAAGTTTTCCGACCATATTTAATAATTATTTTGGTGATATTGATGATGATACAGTTGCATATCTTGATAGAAATTTACATATTGGACAACAAATAAAGGAAGTTTACGAACAACTATTAAGTACTATTGATATGAACCATTGTTTTCGATTAGATACTGTACGTATAAATATTGAAAAATATACTTAATAAAGAAATTTTATTTATAAAAGTAGACAACTATTAATAGGAATCTTAAGAGATGTTCTCTTATTTCAGAAAAGTAATTATATGATTTTAAAGATGCGTAGAAAAATTTGATAGTAGTGAACTAATTATCATGTCAAATGATGTCGTGCATATAAAAAAGAAACAAATATACTAGGTTTTAATGTAATCATTTTCCATTATGACCTTGAACTTTTCTTCCTTCATGTTTTATAATGGGATATATACTTATGTCATCTGCAAAATTAAAGGTAGACAGAACTCGTTTTTAATTAGGCACTATAGATATTCATAGCAGCTGGAAATCTGCCGTGGTCCTAGAAAACACAAGACTATTGCGATGCGAATAAAATCTAAATGTACCGCGATAGTTGAGATTCTGACTGTTAAACTGACAAACATTCAGATTGGGTAAGAATTCATGCCATATTACAATCTTTCTAAAAAACAGAAGCTGCTGCAGACACTATTGCAGTGATACCGTGACGGTAATACTATAGGTATCACTGTTAGGCAGAAAACTACAGCAATCAATCATAATATTTTATTAGATTTCTGCTCAAGAATAATATTGCATAAAGGATATAGAAACTGTTTTGTTTTTATTCCTACGATTTCTTTTAATCCAAAGTAATATAAAATTCTGTCGTGATTTTTGAGAGACTTTTAAGGTATCTGATAATAACAGTGGGAAGGTCTAAGTTTTTATGCTTATGAGAGAAGTTTACAAATAATGTTTAAAGCCATAGATTTTGACTGAAATCATGGAACTTTTTATCTAGAAGAGTCTACATCCAAAGATATTGAAACTACTTGCGTCTTTTGGGCGAATATCTGATTTCAATTAGAAGATTTCATTGAGAATATTAAAGTATATTTAAACCGAATTCAAGTCCGAAAAAGTTGAACACGGCGGGCTGTAGATTTATCTGAACTTGTTGGTTGTTTTCAGTGTATTTTCGATGAAAATCTACAAAAATCCATTTTCTTGCTTGTTGAATCCTACTGAAGTAAATTTTGTAGAAATTCAATAGTTTGGTTAACATGCAACAAGAACTCGATCCCTTCAAAAATTTTTTTTTTTCATTAGGTAACTTTTTAAACACTGTATATTTTACTTGCAACCTATTTTGTATTCATTACTCAAGTACAAAGTCGAAATAGGCAAGTTTGTTTTTTATTTTGCAAGATTGCGAATTATTTATTAAAAAAACAAGGAATGTTCGTTTTTGAAAGATGCTTTCATAAAGCTTCATGCGACATGGATGGGAAAAGATAATCTTATGATTTATCTTTCCGGTTAGTCTATAAGAAAAATCATCAAAACATATTTGAAAAAATGAAAAACTTTACAGTCGCCACTTTTGTGAATAACTTTAAAAATTTTTAGATCTTATTTTTTGATTTTTAACTTTTGATTATTTTTAGGATAAATATGTTGTTAAGTGTCCTGATAATCTCGATTTATTAACTGCTCAAGCATCATCAACTTTAAAAAAACCCTATGCCGAACAAATAAATAATCGATCTTTATCAAAACGAGATGAACCACCTTGGACACAATATGATAATGATCGTCAACGTTGGGTTTTAACACCAGATCCTCGTCGATTAGAACAAGATGCCGAAGAAAAAAAGAAACGTAATCCTAAAAATCGAAATAAAAAAGGTTTAATGGAACCAACAATTAATTTAAGTCTCGTACCTGATCCACAAGTAATAGCATCATATAAACCACGTGATTCTCGTCAAACACGTGATTTTCAAACTTGGAAAGATTATTGGTCACAAGTACATACAGACAATGATTATTTAAAATATTTAAGTACACAATCAACTGATTATCTTCATCATATATTTCATTTACATGATAAACTACCAGAGGATAATCGTCTGAGTGAAGAAAATCAAGCTTTACTTGATGAACGTGATCGAGCATTAAAAGAACGTGAGGATAGAATTGCCGAATTAAAAGAACGCAAAAATAAATTTGAACAAGGTGTTTGGAATGCTGAAAGTATTTTTCTTGGTGGTCTTGGCCATGATCCAGTTTTAAATCCTCAAGATGATCCAATTGTACATTTTGAACAAGATTTAGAAAAACGTAAACCTAAATCAAAACGCATTGATTTATTTGATCCCATAGCACATGAAAAAGCTCTATCAAGCAAACAATTTTTAACAACCATTTTAAATAATGTTAAACATGATAATGTACAAAAACGTTTAGAACAAATATGGAAATTATTAAAAATGACGGATAATGATCGTTTACATATGGCTGTTAAATATAGTACTATTGAATATGAGAAGAAAATTGAATCGGTAAAAAAAAAAGAAATAATTTTGATTTTGTTGTTCATATTGTTTTGATTGTAATGTTATGAATATTTTTAATAGGCACTTGATGCTTGGGAATTCATAGCACAATTAATTGTACAAAGAGAAAAATTTATAAATGATTTAGAAAATTTTGAACGTACTGCATCGGATCCGAATCGATTTTTCGAACCAGGTAATTTATTTCAAGGAAAATTTGATTATCAAAAAATAAGTCAAAGAAATGAATTTAGTACTAAAAATATACTTCTAAAGAGAATATTTCCAGATGTCAATTCTCTTTTTAGTCGAGATTTAATGAACTATATCTATCGTGAGACCATATTTTCGAATTTCTACCTAAAACTTTGTCCACATAAAGATCTCAACTTGACTAATTTGCATCGCTGTATATAAAATCTATGTAGAAGAGTCTATCCATTGAAAGCTTTATATCTTGAAGGTATTTAGTGCAAAAACTCTGAAGCTTTTTCTATGTAAGCTAGTCTAATGAAAAACTTCATGTAGACTAAGTGTCAGGTCGAAATTCGAACATATGGTCTTGGTGAAAATGTAGGATCCTACAACGAAAGTTGATTAAAAAAGTGTTTGATTTCCTTATGATAAAACTCTTCCAAGTGGTAACCTCTACTTGAGTTCATATTTTTCTCATAGGTCTGACTCACAGTGTAGATAAACATTCTAAAAGGATTCATGTCATTACGTCTTTCTTCGCGATTTATGTCCATTTTACTGACTTTTCAGATCTCAATAAAGAAATTTTCTCTCAGACTTCACTGAACAGTGGTTATCATGGTTCTTATGACGTCCTGATAGTTTCAGCTGAAACGAACCTTTGTTTTTCGAGACAACCTATTTACAAAAAAAATATTTTTTCACAGAAGCTCCAAAAGTACCTCTGTTATATTTAGGACATCATGAAGACCATGATATCAATTGCTCGATGAAACTTCAAACAAAAATTCCTCCTTGTGATTTTTTTCATAATACCCTGCTATAGACTGCCAATTTAATAAAATGAACATAACTCGACAAGAAAATTCTAATGGTAGAATCCCTTTTAGTATTTTATCTACAGTAAGAGTCCTACTCGGGCGAACAATATGAGTTCAAATAGAAGTTATAAGTTAGCAGAGTCGCGTTGTTAGAAACAGATTACAAGTATGAACTATTTTTGTAATAGACTTAGTTCATTAACGTCTACAAAATGCACTAAATATCTGTTGAAAAATCGAATTGCCACCTGGAACTCTTCCTTTGTTGAATAATATTAAAAATAATTTTAGAATGTGATTTTTCGTTAATCACGTAGAGTTAAAATTTGAGAGTGTGTTTACATATCTCAAAAGTAAAGTACCTTTGTGAAACACGATATAAAAGGAACATTGAAGTATATAAAATAGAAATTTATTCCTTCACCCACTCTCACACAGGCATTATTGATATATGATCACAGACCTTAAATCAATAATGTCTCGTTATAATATGTGAACTACTTCTTTATTGTGTATATCAAGGATTAAGTCAAAAGATGATGAAAGAATGTGACCTAAAAAATGGATAGAATAAAACAATCTTCATGTGATTAGTAAGAGCAATTGCATATTGTTTCACATTGTAATCCAACAGGGATTCCGCTAATATATTTTAGATATTGATTGAAAACCTAAAACTTTTCTTTAATAAACTGTTAAATAAATAATGAACGGTTATTCAATTCAATAGAGATAGTATTGTTATATCTAAAATAAATTATGCTAAAAGTTTTTTGCTGTATGTAGAAAAATAATTTTATATGATCAATATTAGAGATTGATTTGTTAAATGTTTTAGGTCCGATGGGTAGTTCAAAAATGCGTTTAAGTGAATCTCGTCGTCGAACATATATATATAATCAATTATCTATACTTGAAAAACAAATAACTGAACAATGGAATAAAATAAAAACGACCTGTGGCGATACAGTAACATATAATGGTCGTAATTATTTAGATAAAATACAATTTGATAAATTAGAAATGTTACATTATTTACAAGAAGAACGTCGTTTAAATTATTTACATTCATTTACATCGATGGGAAAACATAGTAAACTTGATTCGACTTTTAATCATGTTTTATAATTAAGACTTTTTTTTCGAATGAATCTCCGTCCATTTTTTTTTTCTCTTTAATGATAAATATTTTTTTTTGCAAATTTGTAATTTCTTTGTTTCTTTTCTAGATGGCTTCATCATATCCAATTGAGGTTGATGATGTAGAAATGAGCTGTAAAGGCATGCAACTTTTATTAAATAATGACATTGACGCATGTGAAGCTTTATTTGATCAATATCGATTTTATTCACCATTAATGAATGGTGGATGGGCATTTGTTTCATTTATGGTAATAAATTCAATTTTAATAGAAAAAATTTGTTTTTGACAATATCATCATTTAAAAGTTAACAGTATTGTCGGACATATATTTAAGTAACATATTGTAGTTTTAATATAAAATGTTCAAACATAGGACATCTCAAATATCCAATCTATTCTAATGCTTCTTTCTGAGTTTATTTTAAATGATCTAACGTTTTATTTAACTTATTTTCATTGAATATATGTGAAGCTTTCGAAAAATTCTGAGATTAATGCGGTTTCAAAACAACAAAAAGTATTGCTGTGTTAATATTATTTCCAGTATACAGTTCAACCGGTTCTCTATCTATAAACATAATAAGCTCTGCTGAATTAAACATATGAAAATTTCAAAATACTTTTTAAACAACTCTAAATATACTGATAGAAAATCAAAAAATCTGATAATTTCTCAGTGATAAAGTTTCTTATTCAATAAAGCAATGATGTATCTAATAGTTATGAATATATGATAACACCCTTTTATAATGCTCGATTATCTATCGAAATGAGGTCTTTATTTAAATGTTGACTTATCGTAGATTAATAGCAATCAAAGATAGTCAACTCGTAGCTGAGTAATTAACAGATAACGTCAGACGACGAGAATGTTACATTTTCTAATAGGATAACAGCAACATATTCAACATATCTAGAATTATCATCAATAGCCAGTTCTTCGTTCTTACAACGATGCACCCATACAACATATGTTAGAGCATTATTACTGTAGACTGTCACTTTATACTTATGAATACTGAATAGGCAATTGATCTTTCAAAGCATAAAATTTCGCTGAAAGTTTTACACTTTCTATCAGTATGTTTTCATTGATCTAAAATCTATTTTGGTATTTTCATGTATGTGCTTAATTTAGTAGAGCATATGATATCTACAGATAGAATTAGAGATGTAAACTGAATCATTGATAAGCAGCGCGACTGAAGTACTTGAATGTTGGCAACCGAGAATTTTCTTCAAATATCAGCTTACATCTCTAGATAAAGAAGAAGATGAACTACGTACAGACAATAATACGAATACAGCAATACTTACATGAAACGAAAGAAAGAAATATTCTTTTTTGGGTCATTTCAGTACACGTTCAGAAAGCCACTTGGCAGAGTGTTTTTTTTGCTCTACTAAACTGTTTCAATTGTTTTTCAAATAGAACTTTTTTGGAGCAAAATTAAAAGTAACAACGCTTGCTTAGTTGTCCAACTGGGATTTTTGCTTTTCTGCAGTAAATCGTTGCTTATGAAGACTAATGTAGAAAGTAACACAGTTAGCATCAATGGATAGAGAATTATGTGCTCTAGGCTTTGACGATCTTTTCAAGGCACCTGAGCAATGATTCATGAGCATAAAATCTATTGATATTTTTCTGCACGTGTCGGAAAACAATTGTTTTCCAAAGTGAGACTTAGTTTATAAAGTAACAATTTTCGTGCTGTTGGATATCTAATTTAATTCTGAACAAAAATGTTGTGATGACTAAATTGAAGAATTCAAACTGAAAAATAACAACAGCATAATCTTATGAAGCAAGACTTTTCCCAATTTATTATTCATCATTATTTTCTTAAATATTTTCTCGGAAATTCTAAAACATACAACAAAAGATGCAGAATTCGGTGATATGTTTGTCATTTCAACAAACCATTCTTACAAAATGTTGCATCATTTTTGATCGTAGCAGCTGAACGATTCAATATATATTAATATTTTAGATTTTGTTCTAACTATAAAAAAACAATGCAAAACTTTTACCCTGTAAAAGTTTTTCTCTATCTAGTGACTTTCTAAAAGTGTGTCTGAGTGCTAAAAAAAGCAAGAAAAGGATGTTATCCTGTTTAATCTGTGCCATCCGTTATTTAAAGAAAGAAAAACTTTAACGTCTTCAATTTTTTTAGAGAGCTGTAATCTCCTTCGATGATCAACGTTTAGCACAAGCCGGTCGTAATTTAGCTGAATCAGAAAAATTATGTGCGCATGAAAACTGGAAAAAATTCACTCGTACAATAAAATCTGTTGAATCAAACGTAAAAAGTTTTTTTTGTCGTTGTTTTTTGCTTTACGTTTTATATTTTTTTGTTTTTATCAAATAAGGCAGCAGCACTTGAAGAAAATCTTACTCGTCGAATCATTATAGCTGATTGTAAATTGTATCAAGGTAATAAATATAAATAGTTCTTGTATTTTTTTTTCTTTTCATAAATAAATTAAATATATTATTTTCCAGCTATATTAACTCTTATTAAACAAGAATTATCCGGTTTGATTGGTGCTGGTTTACTTTTACGAAAAGCATGGAAAATATATGAAAAACTTCATAATGAATTATTCGATTTATATCGTGCTAAAGATTCTAATGCAGAAAAAGATTACGGATCAAAACCAGAAGATAATGTTGTTATTCAATTTGAAAATAATGATGAAATGAAAAATGATGATGATGATGATGATGATGATGATATTTCTTTTAAAAGTTTTGATAATGCATCAAATGACTCAACAAATGAACTTTCATTATACACAATAAAGCGTCTTCTCGGCTCAGTCTCATTTGGTTATGGACTTTTTCAAATAGCACTTTCCTTTGTTCCACCAAGAATTATGAAATTAATTAAATTTCTTGGTTTTGAAGGCGATAGGTAAAGTTTAATATTTACTAAAAATAATTTATACAACATTATTTGTTATTGTTTAGAAAAGCTGCATTAGCTGCTCTTCGATTTGCTAGTCAAAGTACAGATATGAAAGCACCCTTAGCAAATTTAACATTACTTTGGTATCATTGTGTCATTCAACCATTCTTTGCAATCGATATTTCATATGCACCAGGTAATAGAATACTTCTATACTTTAGATTTTTTTGTGAAACACAATCTAAAAGGAGTATTCAAGCCTATAGGATAGAAATGTGAACCTTTCACAAGCAATGACAGGTTCTAGTCCGAGATCGTGACAAACGTTGTTGGCATACGATCAAGGATCGTATATCAATAGTGTATCGTTCTAATATATGAACTACTTTCTTATTGGATACTAGAAGAATTAAGTAAAAGGATTGTGAAGGAATGAGTGCCGAAATTGATAGAATAAAATAATCTTTTAGTGATTGACAACAGAAGTTACATAGTGTTTCAGATTTTAGTCCAGCATGAATTTAGCTAATAGTATTGTTTTTATTTATTCAATTTATAGATATGAGTGAAGCAAAAGCTATATTAAGACGTAATGTGGATAAATATGATAAATCAACATTATTTATTTATTTTCAAGGACGTCTTGAACGAATTGAAGTACAACTGATGAGATTCTTAGTTATTTGAAATTCACTTGTTTTTTTTAAACTTTTTGTAGAGAAATCTTCCAAGAGCTTTAACAACATTTCTTAGTGGACTTAATGTACCGAATAATCAATTACAAAGTGCAACAGTCATAAGATCTAATGAATTAGATCAAATATTAATTTATGATCTTGGATTTTGTTATTTAATGATGTTAAATTTTGAACAAGCTTTATATTATTTTACAAAGTTAGACCTTACTTTTTGTTAGTTTCGTATATGTTCAATTTTTCTTTCACTTTAAAAGATTAAAAGAAGAGAGTCGATGGTCGAAAGCATTTTATTGTTACGTTTGTGCAAGTAAGAAGATTCGTATTTTATTTTATTCTAGTTTGTTGACTCTGTCATATTCAGTTTGTACTGCTGCAATGTGTGATGAAAAAACTTCAGCAGCATTTGTTAAAGATGGAATTAAACTTATTCAAAAACGATCGAATCCAATTGAATTATTTGTGCAAAAACGCGTAAATACATAAACATATCAATTTTAGAAATTCAAAATAATCACTTATTTTTTTTGTCTATTCAGTTGGATTATTTGAAGAAGAGTTCACTACCAGTATCTACAGCGCATATACTTGTATTTGAAATGTTATACTTATGGATTCTTTTACCATTATGTGAAGCGTCAACATTACGAAAAATTTTACAAAGTAAAGAATATCTTCTTACAATGATTGTTTACCAATATATTTAAAGAATAGTGTTCAGAGTTTCGAATCTTAAGATATAATTTGTGTTCTTAAGTCATATATAACTTCTAGTGCTACTCTTCACTTAATAGATGTGTCTGAAAATTCGAGATTAGTTTTGTTCTTTGATATAGCATTGCAAAGCAATATCTTAGAAACTGAGTCCTTTTTTTATTGTTAGAACGAGCAAAAATTTCAGTTCAAAAATAATTTAATAGAATTTGATCGAAAATCCTACAAGAGATATCAGAAAAGTATTTTGGAAATTTTTTGAATTTAGAAAAAAATTTTACATAATACGACAACTTTTATTTCTATTCTTCTTTGCTTATTTTCATAACATAGGGATAGGGAAATATTACTGTACCAAAAAAAGAATTATTCAGTGTGATTTGAAACGACCGATATGAATGCATCTTTATAGCGTCTACTGGTATCATCGGTTTTTCCTAACTACTAATTACAGTCAGAAAAATGAAATTCTATCCCAAAAAAGAAGCTGTTCGAAGGTATACATATTTTGTGATACATGATCTAAAAGGAAAGCTGAAGTATACATGTAGAAGTGTAAATCCCACCCTACACGGACAGACTGTGCCAGATGTTGTTGATATACGATCGAAGATAATATATCAATACAGTCTTGTTTTAAGTTATGAACTACTTTATTACATTGTTAGAAGGTTAAGTAAACAAATGGTGAAGAAAAACGTGCCAAAACGATAGAATTAAGCAATCTCCCTATAATTAGTAATAACCGTTACATTGTATTGAGTGTGGATGTGAGTGTGGGTGTAGATAATCCTTGCAACAGCCACACCCACGCTCGGACTTTTTCTAGTTAAATTATTTACTGTTGGAATTCTCGTACGCTAGATCGATTATTTTAGTATTGCACAGAAGCTATCATTGTTAAATGAATAGTTGTATATAAACATAATGCTGAAAAATATCGGAAGTCGATAATGAACGAAATCATTTAAATACAGTTGAATAACAACAGTGAGATCGAAAATGCAGAAGTATACTGATATCATTTGTTCCAAGGCTTTTATGGCCTTTGAAAAATATTTCTGATCAAATTCTTCCATAAACATATTTTCGCACTAGACGTTCCATTTTTTTTTTGAAAAAAATGGATCAATTCTCTACAATATTACATTGCAGCATTACATCAAAAACAAATTTAATATAAAGCTTTTATTCTATCCACTATTTTGAGCAAATACATCAAACAAGGTTCATTGATATTGTACATACATTGTATTTATAAAAGAAGAAACAATTTTCAAAACAAAAACAAATATCCATTGACTCGATAGAAATTTTTCGAATGTATGCAAATCTTGTATGCAAGAGTTCAATAAACATTTTAATTGTCACTACAAATGAATCATTTTCAACATATGATAAAAACATCATGGTTTATAGATAACTATATGAATAGATTGTGAGTTTTTGCATCAAATTCTTACAACTCACTTCCATTCCTTCCATCACTTTGTCGTATTATAAATAATACTTATTTGGAATTTCTTCACTTTGCAAGTCATGTATTTAAAAGTATTATTTTTTCTCTTTGTCAACAGTGGTCGAGTCATACGGTCAAGATTCAAAAGATGATAATAAACTTCGTGCAACTACTTGTTTAATTGAAGGAGCTATTAACAATATACTGTTTCGCTATGATGATGCTCAAAATGTACGTTTTTTTTCTTTACTGTACAAGCCGAATCTCGTGATTTTATTTTTCTATATTTATACAATAATCTAGCGTTATGAAGAAGCTTTAGCTCGAGTGGAGGATTCAAAATTAACCTTTACTCGATATGTATCACCGTTTGCTACTTGTGAACTTGGTATTCTTGAATATCTTCATCGAGAAGTATATATAATTTTTACCAAGTTTCTTGCTTGACTTTTCTTTTATTTTTGTAGAATACCGAACGAGCTAAAGAATTGTTAACAAAAGCTAAAGTAAGAAAATTGTTTTAATCTCAATAAAAAAATAAAAATGTCAAAATGTTTTCATTGATTTAATAGGAAAAATATACTGATTTTGATTTTGACAATCGTCTACAAATTCGAGCAACAGCTACACTTAAAATGATTTCTGCTCGAGAAACATCTGCAACAACAACAGCAGCTTCTAGCAAATAGAAAATAAGAATTCATGGTTTTCTTTTTCCTCTTTACAACCGGTGAATTTATTTATTTCTGTGAAAGACAATTTAAGTTTTATTTGCAAAGCTAATCAATCAAAATCGGCTTGTTTTTTTTCACTACAATAGTCAAGACTTCTTTATCTTGATCATCGTGTTGTCTTTTTTTTAAATAAACTCATGCATTATAGTCCTTAACTTATTGACCTCTAGATTGTTTTAATATCTGTTTTCAAAGAAAATAATATTGAATATATAATGTAAAATAAATAAAGTAAAATATCTAATAAGTTTTTTCAAAATCAAAAACAGAAATTTTATAGTTTGATAGTGAAGCACAATTGATGTAAAGAACGATTGATTTTATTGCCATTATCGATACTGTTCCTGAGACATTTTAAAAAGCGCAATTACAAGAAGTTCATAACATTTACAGATTCCGATAAATTATTGTAATAAATTCTTAGTTCTAGAATGTGAATATATATCAGTTCTGATGAGTGCAGTGGATTAGTTTTACATAACTTTAGTAATAAACAATTCAAATTGATATCCCTTTCGTTGAAAGCCTTTGAATACACTTGAGACGATATGAAAGAAACTCTCGTCATTGGTTTTTATACAGTTGTTGTTTCTACAGCTAGTGTCGGTATGCAATATTTGGTTTGATAAGTATTTATGATTGATATCACGTACCCTCATTACCTATACCGTTATCTTCTTTTCATGTGTCTCTTACGTATATGCAAAAAAGAATTGTCTATCTCATGAATAGCATGTATAATAACAGAATGATGAAATTAACTCGGTAAATGATCACAATTTTTTCCTATCTGTGATAATACAAAGTAAGACGCATTTACAGTGTTTGTAACTGTTTTTTTCATGGATGAATTTAGATAATCCCGTATAGGCGTAACTATTCCACAAAGGGCTATAAATATCGTGTTATTTGCTTAAAATAAATGTCTTGACGATTTCAGTGTCCTTCGATAGATATCAGGCTTTTGCATGAGCTCGCTTATTCATGACAATTAAAGCAAAAGATTATATATCTTTCTTGAAAACTTTTAAACAATCAAATTTTGTGCAGAGTTAGAATCAGTGGACAGTGTTGACTGAGCTAGCAAAACACCGGCCGGTTTAATAATAAAATTCACTCTGCAAAAAAATTCCATATACACTAATATACAAAACGAAAGAAGAACTCTTCCAAAATGGTTCATCTCGTGACTGACAACAACTGATATTGAATAGCATTGATGCTGCATTTTGCCTGAAGTTTCTCAATAAAGATATGATTTCTTTAGAAGATTTAGTAAGTTTGATATTTTCCTATCTGAAATCATTATTTAACACAACTGAAAGGTTTCTCTATCAAGGAAAAAAGAGCTGAAATCAGAATTTTTGATTTTTTTGATAACTTTAAATAAAAAAGAATCAGCTCTTTCTTCCTTGCTTTTTATACAAATAGATAGGCTCAATGATGAACATGCCAGTGAAACGAAGTATGTTATATTTTGTTTGATGTGCCTGAATAGATCAACTAAACTAAGGTACAAACTTGAATTCGTTAAAAATGTCTCAAATAACACTTTGAGTTCATAACTGTTTACGTTATGGTTGAAAAAAACTCTTGCAACAATATCATCCAGCATAACTGAACAGATAAAAGTGTAGTTTTTATTAAATTTTAATATGTTTTTCTTTAACTTTGCAGAACACTGATAATAATTATAGCCATAGAAGTGCTACTGTTACCCAGCGAAGACTTTCTAGACTTTTACAAGTAATCTTTTTGAAAGTTATCTCATTTACTGTAATATTGAAATAGACAAATCCGTCTAAAGGGAGATGGATTATGTTTTTAAAAACACTCTTATTCTGAGTGATGTTCAAATCTGAAACGGATTATTTAATTTAAAAAAGTCTTTAAAGGCTTCTTTCTTCTCAGCAATCTCCAAATAAGGTCTTTTTCTATAGTGGCACTTTTGTATAAGTTGATTTTTAATCCAGAAAAATGGATTTTAACCCTTTGAGTCCGATGGTAGCAAAAATGCTACACATGTTTTGTGATTATTTTTCACAACATATTTTATGAAAATTAGTGCAAAATCTTGCACGCTTACAAAGATTTGCGTGCAATAAGGATGAAGAATCGGTGTTATGGCACATACTTAACTCTATGTGTTTCTTCGTTCTCTTTCTTTCTTTACCTGGGCTCCGATTCATCCTATAATTCCTATTTTTTGAAAAATCCTATATTTTGTCCTATATTTCGATTGATTTTCCTATTTTTCCTATATTTTGTCAAAAAAAAGTGAAGAAATTTTACGAGATTTGTCTTTGCCCTGAGAGAGAGTACGGGGATCTTCGCAGCGCTACCCGCAACCCCCCTCCCCCGGTCATCACTTTTTACGAAAAAAACCAGGCAATGTGAATAGCTGTTGCTTGCAAGTAAAGCACATACATTTAAGGTGCGGTTCAACGTACAATACCTAAATTTTGGTCAATTTTTTACTTATTTTTTAGTGAAAATAATCGTATAATTCAGAAAACGAAATCCTATATAGGAATTCCTATAATTTCGAAAATTTGTAATCGGAGGCCAGCAAGTGCGTCTACTTAATACCCGAATATGTCCGGGAAAACGAGTTTAACATAATATAATAGTACATAGAAGGAAAGAGAATTAGATAAGCTATCAAAGGCTGTAATTTATTGTTGTGTAATTTATTTATTTAGGAGTGAGAATTTTCAAAAACCAAAAACAAACAGCGAAAAAAAATGAATATTTCTAGTGCTTGTCAATTATGATTACATTCATGATTTTTATATTATTGTTTCATACATGGATACAATTTAATAGATAAATATATGGGGTGATAGAGCATCTCGAGCTCTATCCGAATATACAATTACTTTTTCAAAAAGATAGTTCTATAATGATGAAAATTTTCAAAAACTTATTTTCAAGACACTGAAAAAAATCAAGTCTAAGGGAATTTAATGACGAGGGTACTTTCATTGTATTCAATTTATCTTAATAGTATATAAGTGCAAACTATAACACAAATACATAGAATGATAGAAAACTCCAAGGGTTTTCAGAATATGTCATTACTTTTTCAAAAGTGTCCTTTCATAGCAACAATATATCTAAAATACAGATTGCAATTATTTTTTCCCCCATATATATATAAGAAACAAGTTTTATTATTTCATCACAATTCATTGTGGGTTTTGCCATTAAAAGAGTTCAAAATTGATCAGATGAAATCTTTCAATAATGTTATGTTGACATCTTGTGAAAAAATTGTTCATCATGAAATGGTTCATCATGAGCCGGTTCTTAAAGTTTTCGGCCCAGTATTTGCTTCTCAACCTCATGATCGTCAATATATTTTTGTATTTGAACAAACAATCATTCAATATAAGAAATAACTTCTCTGAATGTTGATTGTAAATTTATTATTCCTTCAAATAATTTGCCACGATCAATTCCAGTTATTCTTACAAGCAAAAAAATTTTTAATTTCTTCGTGCTCCGTCATAAGAAGTATACTAAACAAAGTTGCCGACTCAGTTAATTATGAATGTTCATAATATGTGCCTATTTATTTGATTATTCGTGACAAATATTTCAAAATTCAGACGTCAATTTGTCTTACTCATCTTTAGACATTGAATTTAATAATGCTCTTTTTTAGATATTGAATCACATCCACGCGCTAAAGTACAGTAGAAAGGCTTCCCTGTTCCGTAAGTATGTATTGAAACTATAGCTTTCTCTTTATTCATAGAGACACCATTGGTAGATCTCTGTTAGCTCAACGTGACTGAACGAAGATTACAGAACAGTAATCACTCGTCATTGTCATTACATCCATTCATAATTTCAACGAAGTTCTTTCCTGTTGATCCTATAGTCATTTCGATGATGATAATATAATAATCAAGACACAATCGACTGTTATTGTTAGAGTATAGTTAGTTAGGTCGATTCGAAATCAATCTGATAGGCTCTAAGTCCTAGATATTATGCATTTCATTAATGGAGACCTATTAGCAATTATGAAAAATCAAAGTTTTCTATGAATATTGTACTAGAGATCACCATAAAACGATTAAATCCGATGGTAGTACAATGTTCATTTTAGAAAAATAATATTATTTTATAGATCATGAATAATCGTTTTATTGTTACACATAGAACGGAATAACAAAAAAAAAACGAAAAACATATCAAGTGTAACATAATTATTCATTGATCATTGATTGGTTTGTTTCTTCTTTTTTGAACCACCTTTCCCACGATGTTTCTTACGTTTCTTAACAGCCTAAGAAAAAAAAATATTTACTTCTTATCCGAATAATTTTATTATATCAGATTTACATCATATTTTTCTAGAAGTTCTTCAATTTCTTCTGGACGTGTTACACTTTTCTTCTTGTGACTTAATTCACCTAAATCTTTTTGTAATTCCCGTAAAGTCTAATAAGAATAAAAAGAAAACATAAATAAATATTTTATATAGGTGCCTTTTCACACATAAACGGACATACCCACCTAGCAGAGATCCACAACACACTCTCGCACACGCCTCTTTCGTATTTTACTTTGTTTCTTCAGTATTCTTCCAGAAATTTACAAACGATGAGATGACGACGAGCGCACTCCACACAAGGTTGCTAAACAGTGTATCGGCATGTGCTAAAGGATTAGGTGGCGCGATATTGTCTCGTGGATCTCTGATACTCACCTTGAATTTGATTTTGATCCTTTACAAGGTTTATTTTTCTGAAGAAGTTCTTTGAACATAGGTATACTAGAGATTCTGAAGAACGACTAAGACTGTTTGCAATTGGTTTTGAACTTCTCATTTGATGATAAGAGAATTTTTTCGTTTGTATATTTGTACTTAGTCATGTCGCTAACGAAATGTCTATCAATTTTTTTTTGAGAAACCTATGCATATTGACAAAAAATTTTCGATA